GTTACCCAGACGGACTGGCGCTTTCCAATTATTCAGTACCTTAAGGATCAAAGCATTAAGGTATCTAGGAAAACCAAAATGCAAGCTCTCAATTATGTCTTGATTGAGGATGTACTTTATAGGAGAGGCAATGATGAACTACTGTTGCGTTGTCTGGGTCCAAATGAAAGTTTCCAGATGCTATCTGATGTCCATGATGGGATTTGTGGTGCACATCAGGCTAGAATCAAGATGCGTTGGTTAATTCGCAGACATGGCTTCTTCTGGCCGTCTGTCCTGAAAGACTGTATTGCTTATTCTAAGGGCTGCAAATCTTGTCAGATCCATGGGCCACTTCAAAGAGTTCCAGCCTCTGAACTTAATTCTATTGTGAAACCATGGCCATTTCGAGGTTGGGCTATTGACTTAATTGGTAAGGTGTATCCCCTTTCATCAAAAGGTCATTCATTTATTATAGTGGCAACGGATTATTTTACCAAATGGGTGGAGGCTAAACCAATGAAGAAGGTAGACCAATATGATGTAATCAAGTTCATCAAAGAGGACATTATTCACAGATTTGGTCTGCCAGAAACAATTACAATAGACCAAGGCACAGTTTTTGTCAGCCATCAAGTGGAGGCATTTGCAAAGGAAATGGGTTTCCGTCTGTTAAATTCTACCCCTCATTATGCACAAGCTAATGGGCAGACAGAGGCTTCTAACAAGGTGGTGATTAATTTGCTTGAAAAAATGGTGGATGACAATCCCAGACGCTGGCATGAATTATTGTCTGAAACACTGTGGGCTTATAGAACTTAACAAAGGAGTTCAACCAAAATGACACCTTTTGCCTTGAAATATGGCCATGATGCAGTCTTGCCAATGGAGCTAACAGCCAAGTCTTTAAGAGTGATGATTCAGCATAATCTCCAGTCTGGAGAATATGATGAGGCCATGATGCTTGAGCTTGAGGAACTTGAAGACTCACGTTTGACAGCTTTGGATAGATTGCAAGCTCAAAAACTCAAAATTGTAAAGTCTTACAACAAGAGGGTAAAAGGAAAAAATCTGGCAGTTGGTGACTTGGTCTGGAAAGTAATTTTACCTCTTGGCAAGAAAGATCACAGATTTGGGAAATGGTCCCCAAATTGAGAAGGACCATTCCGAATTCATGAAGTGTTGAGAGGGGGTGCTTATTGGTTAAAGTCACTTGATGGAGAGCTACATCCCAGAAAAATCAATGGAATTTATCTCAAGCCTTATTTCCCCACAGTCTGGGAGGCAGGAGGCTTAGAGTTCCAAGAAGCTGTCTGAGC